CCTAGAGGTATTGGAGTAAGAAATTTTAGTCAAATCTTCCTCCCTCTCCCCGCCCCCAACCCCCATTTATCTTTTTAGGTTTTGGAAGGTTGGCAGACTTTTCTGAGTCAGGTTGAATAATGTGATGTTTGAAACAGAGCTACAGGGGAATGCACAAGTCATCTCCACTGCACAGAGTCAAATTTATTTTAAAAACAAAAATAAACAGAAAAATCCAAACCTTTTAACTTTGTTCTCAAAATGTCTATGACACAGTGAAAATAGTTTAATTAGTCAATGTCCCCCTATACAAATATTTTAGGAAAGTCTAAATATGGAAACTTAGAGTATTCAAGCTGAGGCAGAAAAATATTTTTACCAAGTGTTATTAAAGTCATCAATTAGATTCTTGCAGAATGTTTAGGATCTTTCATGTCACTACTAAAGTATTTTAATGCTGAGGAGTTTTTAAATATGTGCTATAAATAATCTAAGGAGAAATAACTGCTCAAGTCGATTCACACCCACCCACTGTAGCCATGCTTTGCAGATAACTCTACGGTGATCATCTTAAACTGGTATCTAATGTTATCCAAAAAGAGAGACCTTTTATTCTTGGGTTTTTATTGAAGTCTATTGGAATGAGCCTGTTAGAATAATATGCTGCCTAAGGTTTGGGGCATTGTGAGCTGGAAACTCAAAGGGAGAGGAACAGGCTTCAATTTAGTATCTTCAGGCAAAAATAACCAATTTATGTACAACTGAAGTTGGAGCAAAGAGCCACAAGATTCAAACCTCAAAAAAATCCCCGAGTGCCTGGCCGACATGGCTTAGTGGTTGAGTATGAACCTATGAACCAGAGGTCATGGTTCGATTCCCAGTCAGGGCACATGCCCGCATTGTGGGTTCGATCCCCAGTGTGGGGCATGCAGGAGGCAGCCAATCAATTATTCTCTCTCATCATTGATGTCCCTATCTCTCCCTGTCCCTTCCTCTCTGAAATCAATAAAAATATATTTTAAAAAAATCTCTGAGTAGTTGTGAGAACTGGTTGAGGGAAATCCAAGTAAAGCAAGAGAACATAGATATCCTTGCAAACTCACACATAAGGTTTGTATCTCTGAATCCCTCTTTCATTGTAAACGAAAAGCCTTTTCCTTTTTATTTTTAGGTTTCCAGTAACTTCAACTTTCCTGCTATTGTGATTTTAAAGAACCTGGGGCCTAGAAGCAAGACAGGAAGTCCAGAGTGTAAATTGATCTGACTTTAGCTGTGAGGGTAGTGAAAGTGAAATCACAACCAGAAGTGAAACAGCAGGGAAAGGTGGTAATGACATGCTTCTGGGCATGGGAATTGTGTGGAAAGGGGTTTTCAAGGGGCACATTAGAAATTCCTATCCTTGTGGGGCTTGAAAATAGATGGTAGAACTCTGCTTTGTTTGTGGAATCCCAAAATATGTAAACAGAATGTGAAATTCCAACAGCATTGGAGACAGTAATTGTTTGGTGTTGTGGAAATCTAATAAAACAAATGACTCTTTTCCTCCCCCTGGCATCTGGCATGCTTGTGATTGGATAGACACAAGTGGCCATTTTCATATCACAGTTAATAAAGAAAACTTTAGCCTATTTAAGCTGTGAATAACCTCCAGAAATTTGTTAGAATTTTGTTTCCAGTATCATGTTGATTTTATATACTTTTGCATCCAAATTCCTTGGGGGAAAATCGACAATGTTGTTTTATAGAACAATAGATTGTGAATACAGGTCTGCACCATACCATATATGCTTTCTTTTCATGTTTCTATAAATACTATTCAGCCATAAAAAAGGAAAGAAATCCTGCCATTTTTTTTTTACAACACGGATGGACCTTGAGTACCCTGGTCAGAAAGAAAAAGACAGACACTATACAATCTCACTTATATGTGAAATAAATAACAAAAGAAAGAAATGTGCTCAAGGTCATAGGTAGAACAGGTTGGTGTTTACCAGAGGTGAGGAGGGGTGAAATTGGTGAAGGGGGTCAAAAGGTATAAATTTCCAGTTATAAAATAAATAAGTCCTGGGTATATAATAATGTACAGCATGGCAAGTATAGTTAATAATGCTGCATTGCATATTTGGAAGTTGCTAAGAGAGTAGATCTTAAAAGTTCTTATCACAAGAAAAAATTATAATAAAGGATGGTGACAGATGTTAACTAGACACTGTGGTGACCATTCTGCATATAACAAATCATTATGCTGTACAATGCGACTAATATAATGTTAAATGTTAATTATACCTCAATAAAAAAATAAAGCTATTTTTTATATCCTAAGTTACAGAAAACCCACAGGTGTTAGGATCACATTCGTTAGTAGAAGAAGTCACTGGAATTTATTCATGGTCTGACATAGTTTTAAAAAAGTGCCATCTTGAACAAGAAATGACTCATTTATATTGAAGAGCTCTTCGATGCCACCTAGGATTTAGTTACGACTGTGAGATTAAAAGTGCATTAAAATTTCAGGCTAACCTAGGGAGAAAGAAAACAGAAAGGATTCAACATTTTCAATCATAAAAGAAAGTGGATGATGTTGGGGAAAGGAAATCACAAGCCCAGGTAAGTGAGAAAAAAAGAGGCACGTGAGTGATAAGCTATTGAGTAAGAATGGCCGTCTCCTTAGACTATTGAACTCAAGTGGATGCCTTCATTTCAAAATTTACTGAAAATGGTCATCACCTGCAAAATGATAGTTAAGAAGAAATGGACAAAATTTTGAATCCTGAGAAACGATTGGATCTAAAAAGCCATTTAAGGACATTTTAAAATATCACATGTAAAGAGTATGATAGCATTGACTAGTAATTTGGTACAAGTTGTACTCACAATGGAATCTAATCAGATTTATAAAGTGATAAGCCTGAGGTATAATTTATAATTTAAATTATAAATGGTTTTAAGGATCACAGTCACAAGTACAATGCCCCTGGATAGTATAGGAAATAGGATAAAAAGGTCCTGAACAACAAACAATCATTATTCACACGTTATAGTTCTTATACAACATTTAGAAGGAACCACTGTTCATAGATATTATTCCTTGCTCATGCACAAAGCCTTTTCACCTCCAGGCTGTTTCTCAAATACAACCACACACACACACACACACACACACACACACACACACACGAAACCTCTTGAGTTTGTGTTAAAGAACATACTCCATCACTAATTTCCATTAATAATGGACGTTTTGACCCAAAAAAATTAGTATTATAATTTGCACTCAGCACCTAGTTTCTTCTTGTCAAATAAGATGCATTTAAATTTACCAAACAGAAGTGCAATAGAGGCTAGTACAGATTAATACCATTTTATAAGATGCGAATAAGGCAGTTGATTTTTACGAAGCAAAGTATTCAACTTATTAAAAACATTTTGCTGCAAAATTTATTTAAATACATTATTTAGACTTTTAAAAAATTATTTAATAAAAATTCAGTATTTCAAAGGTTAAGCACTAGGTGACCTTTGGGAATTTTGCAGTTTAACTGGATTAAGTGAGCAGTATACAGGACTGAAAATTTTAAAATTTTAAATATTTTTAAACTTTAAAAAATATTATTCATAATTCTGAGAAAGCCTGCTCAATCAAAATATTCTTTTCTGGTTCTTTTTTTGCCTATTTCTCATAAAAAGAAAGCATGGTAGTTAAGTTTGTTCATTTAATGGAGTCATGACTATGCCTTTTCCTAGTTAATGTACTTCGTAAGTGAGTTCAAGTTCTAGCAGAATCTGTTATGTTCATTGGTCTTCATTATTCTTTGAGTCATGTAATTAAATCATCACATGAAATAAAAACATGTTGGTGCCTATCAATCAAAAGAGTTCTATGCTTTTAGAGATCAAGAACCAAGTGCCAACAAGGACTCACTTTATAAGGGCCCCAAATGTAATTGATAATTTGAATGAATAAAAAGATGATCCACTAATAAGACAAATAAGACAATTTTTAGAACTCTAGCTGACCATGTATTAAGTTCTTTACAACCCAAGTTTCAATGTCATATTGTCAATTACTGCCATATTGCTGAGATAAAACAAACAAACAACAAAATAATCAGTGGCATCCAGATAAAACTGATTGATATTAGCAATGTCATTTTTTCAACAACATTTTTTAAAACGACACAACCTAATCACAGTAATTTGTGATTGCTATCATCCACAGCATAATGTATCAGAAAACCTTTTGGAACACACATTACACATGTTCACCTAAAGATAAAATGGATCTTCCATGGTTGGCATTTGCATTCAGCTGTTTGTTACACACTCGTTGCATCCTGCAGTCAGGAAGGAGGAGGGTTTAAAACATTTCCCCCCTCTAACTATTGCAGCTGCTTCTACCAAGCAATAAAAGTTGCTAGAGAAATCATATATACACATGTATGTAAAATTAGGGAAACAAGCTGCTTTATTGCCCTGATTTAAAATAAGCTCAGTCAGTAGAAAAGAAAAATGCTATAATATTCAGCTTGATGAGCAGCTGAAGACAAGAATATACACAGAAGCAGTTTTAGAATTCAGGATATATCTCACTTGACGTTTGAATGAGACCAACATTTCTCCTCTCAATTTTTCTAAGCCATGGAGTGAGCACTTATGTGGGGAATGTAACCCAAAATAGCAGGTATGTAAAAATAATTTAAATATGATTCTGAGGTTTTTCAAGGCAGAAAAAGAAAAGGTCTTGCTCCTATTTAATTTTAATTTAAAAACTGATAATCATACAAATTCTAGGTTAAAAGGATACTTTTCATAAGGCAGCAATAAAATTTGAGTTATACAAAACTGAGTAACAATCATCCTTTAGTAGAGAAACGAATAGATGGGCTATATTTCAAAGCAAAACTTGAAATATAGATTAATAAAATGGCAAAGATTAGATCAAGAAGTGTGTTAATGGACATCTCACTGGTCTAGGGAAAAAAGACATTGAAAGTATCTGAAAAAAAATATGAAAGCCTTACTCTTGACGGTCGCTGTCCGGGTGCAATTGTAAAGAATAGCCAACTCCCCGAACACCTTTCCTGGACCCATGGTGCACAGCTTCACACCTTCTTTTGTCACTTCCACCTTCCCATCTAAAAAGGAGAAAGCAGAACACATTATTTTAATTCTCCTTCATGCTTCATTTTATTTGTCGCATTTCCATTACGCAATGAGGAGTGTTAGGCTTGTTTTTAAAAATGCTTACCATTTGCAACAGCATGGATGGATGAGTAGTATGCTACGCAAAATAAGCCAGTCAGAGAAAGGTAGTATCACATGATCTCACTCATAAGTGGAATCGAATTAACAAAATAAACTGATGAACAAAAACAGACCCAGAGACATAGAAGCATGGAACACTGTTGAACCTCAGAGAGAAGGCAGGGGAGGGTGGGTGGGGAGAGATCAACCAATGAACTTGTATGCATATATGCATAACCCATGGACACAGGCAATGGGGCAGGGAGGGCCTGGGGTGGGAGGGGAGGATGGGAGTAGGCTGGAAGAGGTTAATGGGGGAAAAGGGGACTTAGATAATACTTTAAACAAAAAAGATAAAATAAAAAATAAAATAAAAATGCAAAGCAGTTACCAATTAAAACAAAGTCATCATCAAGATGTAATGCAAAATACTAAATAAAATATACAAATTAAAAAATCCATATCCTCTCTTAAATTAAATTAATCACAGATAAGAATTAACAGGAGACTGAAAGAAAACCCCAGAAAGAGATGGAGACAAAAATGTAAACATATGAAATTATTCCTAATGTGATATTAGAAAGCTATGCTAATTCCAATTTTAATGTCATTTTGACTTTGAAAGAAAAATTGAGTGACTACATTTTCTACCGCACACCTCATACTTGAGAATTCTTATTTGAATAAGGCAGCTATTATGGAAAGGGAGATGACTTTGACCCTTGGGCATTACTTAATTGTAGTTCATGGTATCTTTTATTTTTAAACATCTTATCTGACTTGAGCAAGTCTCTGTTTTCAGCTTCCCAGCCTGTAACACTGACTGTCAGGAAGAACCATCACAAGGGTTGAGGGAAAGAGACACTAGGGGTTGTTTAGGTTCCACAAAGGACCTGGAAAATGAAATGTTAAAGAAGGAAAAAGCTAAAGGAACATTCTTCACTGGATACACATTGTTGCCTGCAAGTAAGGAAAATGCTATTTATGAGGGGAATTAAAAAATACGTTAAAAAAAATGTCAGAGCTCTGTACACAGTAATTCTATCACCTAACAAAACGAGGGGAAAAACAAAAAGGTAACGCAATCGATTCTAACTTTAATCCTCCCTTTCTACCATTTCTCCAGGTTACCTACCCACCCACAGTCTACAGAAGCAACGCCTAAGCCTTGCCACGAGCTAGTGACTGAAACCACTAATGCTACCAAGTTGTTGCCAACTTCAGGCCTTCATTCATCAACTTCACAATTGTTCCCATAGCTGTGTGCTCCTGCAATACTGAACTTTTCAGAGTTTTGGCTTTAAGTTCATGCCCCCCTTTTAAAAATCAATCTAGTTTTATCTAAGCAATCCTATATAATAAAAGCCTAATATGCAAATTGTCCCCTCGACTGGAAGTTCAACTGGGAATTCAACTGCTCGCTATGATGTGTGCTGACCACCAGGGGGCAGCAGAGAACATGGCAGGAGTTGGCAATGTGGTGCTGGCAGCAGGTGACAGTGGAGGCGCTGCCGGCCCTAATGGGCCCTGAGGAGAGCAGGACTGCAGTGGGATGGTACAGCAGGTGAGTGGGCAGCACCAGGCCAAGGTGGGTGCAAGCGGGGGCCCAATTGCCCCACTGATGGCCCCAGAGATGGTGGCAGGGGTCAGGGGCAGAGCCTCCACTTGGCTCCGAGGCACTGATCTATCGTCCTGCAGGCGGGATGGTGGAGCAGGTGAGGGGGTGGCACCAGGCCACCCGCAGGCCACTCCGAGGGACCCCACCCATGCATGAATTCGTGCACCGGGCCTCTAGTAATATCTATAAAATCACAATGTTGATATCCTAATTTATTTTTCAAACATCTATTGAGATAAAATCTTAAATATTAAAAAAAAAAACTCTTTAAAAAAGTTTATATAGCCCTGCTGGCATGACTCAGTGGTTGAGTGTCAGCCCATGGACCAGGAGGTCACTGCTGGTTCCAACTCATTTTCCTGACATATATTTGCCTTATTTTTTCATGTCTAACTCATTTTAAACAAAAGATGGATATAAATTATTATTATATATAATTTGCTTTCCTATATTTAAGAAGGTTATATTTGATATTAATTAGAAAAGCAAAAAATAAAACATGTTTTCCAAGTTAGGTTAAACACTGAAGATTCAATATATTCACAACAGCCAAACAAGTAGGGGATCTGATCTCATATGAAAGATGAGAATGAGCCAAAAAGCACTGCATATTTTTTTTTAATGAGCAGAAAAGTTTAAATGCTAAACAGTAACACAGTGTTTCTAAATATGCCCCGAGTGGTGCTTTGATCTCTTTCTTATCCTTCCGTAGCACCTATAATGGGGATGGGGAGGGAGTTATTTAGGGAGGCAGGCATGATTGGGAGCTAAAAAGAAAGTTAAGTACATACAGGCCTTAATGAGAGTTCCTCGAGAGACATTTAGAAATATTCTATTTCCCAAGAACCCAGTAAAGTGAGTTATTGATGTGAAATGTGAATTTGGCCTCTCCTTTCCACTCTGAAGTCAATAAAAACATATTAAAAAATAAAACAAACAAAGACGAGAGGTTACTAGAACTGTTTTTTTTGGAGAACTAATGATATTCTGGAATGAGGCTAATCTATATTTTCTGCTTCTGCTCTTTTTTATTCACTTTTGCTTTTTTTTAAAAAGTGTGATGCTATACCATACACTAGCCTTAAAGCAAAATTAGAAGTGATTATACATTCACAAATGATTCCTAAATATGGCCTGTGTGATCCACTTAAGAAAACCAAGAACAAGACAGTTAAAACTTCACTCATACACCCAGTGGCCCCTATTCCCACCTGATCAACTTGATTTAAAGTATTAGGGGCATCTTAAAGCCACACCCCTCTCTTAGACTCTCCTTTTTTCACTCTGTGGCTACCTTTGAGATTTGTTTTGAATGTAATCCAATTGCATAGAAATAGGAACGACTGTGTGTGGCTATTTTAGTGGTGGGGGGGAAAGGCAGGTAAAGCAAACAGGAAAAGTCGAATAGGCTGAATATGTGCCATGTTTTTCCCAGGGGCTTAAACCTCTGTAAAGGCAGACCATGCTTGAAGGTTTCATATAATTATTATTTGCTATTAACTTTAGGAGCCCATTTTGATGAATTTACTTCTGGTCAGCACTGATTACTTTCTATTTCTTTAAAGAACTAGAAGACATTGATCAGCATTTATTCATGACTTGATTTTTCAGTTTTATTTTCAAGTATGTTAGATTTCAAATCATTTTTTTTTAAAGGAGTAGCTGGAAGATTTTCAATACAGTCTAGTAAGCTTTGGACTTTTCCCATTATTTTCCCTGAATAAAAAGTGACTAGAGCCTGAGCTGGTTTGGCTCTGCAGACTCACAGGTCCTGGTTTCAGTTCTGGTCCAGGGCACATACTCAGGTTGCTGGCTTCATCCCCAGTAGGGGGCATGCAGGAGGCAACCAATCAATGATTCTCTCAACATTGATGTTTCTATCTCTCTTGCCCTCTCCTTTCCACTCTGAAGTCAATAAAAATATATTAAAAAATAAAACAAACAGAGACTAGAGGTTACTAGAACTGTATTTTGTTTGGAGAACTAATGATATTCTGGAATGAGGCTAATCTATATTTTCTGCTTCTGCTCTTTTTTATTCACTTTTGCTTTTTTTAAAAAAGTGTGATACTATATTGGTGTTATTTTTACTATGCACTATCTCTGCCAGGAAAGAAAAGTAAAGAAACATTCAAATAATTTTTATTTAGATTTTTCTGAATTGTCAAGTTGTTTGCAAAGAGATATTGAAACAGTTGGCTAAAATTAGGTTTACTTATAGTTTCACTTAGTTCTTTTCTCACTCCTGCCATTAGCATCACTAAATGAAAGCTCTACCATAGTAACTTGAATGCATTTTTTATTCTATTTCACTTACCATATGCCCATTTATGATCTGGAATGGGCTGCGTCATAAGTCCTAAAACTTGCCACTTTGAGCAACAATCAACCTACCTCCTGCTTTTTGGCACCACGATTCATATACCACATTTTATTTATCTTTTACAAGAATCAGTAGGCCAGGAGACCCAGAATCTCCTGGCTTTGTTTATTTTTTATGGGTTTTTCACCAACCTGTGGTTTTGTGCCACAGGAACTTTCATACTAAGGCAAATCAGCTTGGAGATTTGTTACTGGCAGGCAGAAATAGGATGACTGGCAATTAACTAATTATACACACTGTGCTCAGTTCCAACAACCTTGGTTGGAACACTCAGAACAACTTGATTGACCATTAAAAGGAGACAGTTGTTATATCCAAGGTCCCATCTAGACAAGACCTCCCATCTCTTTTCTCATCTAATCTGTCTGACTATACTTTCACGTTTTTGTATAGCCACAGCCTTTACATTATGAATTCCCTCATACAGGTTTCTGTAGTTGCTAGATTCAACCAAATTCAACACTGTGTGGTTGAGTTGTATTGTCACCAGCATGGCTATACAGTGGGGCCTTGACTTACAAGTTTAATTCGTTCCGTGATGGAGCTCGTAACTCCAATTACTCGTATGACAAATCAATTGTGAACGAGTGAGACACGTGATGCTGGGCTGATGTTGTGGTGTTCACTGTGATGTTCGCTGTGCCAACTAGCGGTGGGGTATCTGAAGGTGGCTCGTAACCCGAATTTTAGCTCACAACTCAAAGCAAAAAATCGGCCGAGAGATAGCACGTATCTTGAAAAACTCATTAGTTGGGACACTCGTAAGCCAAGGTCCCACTGTATTTCTGACAAGAGAGGAGGTTCACTTATGGATTTGCTTTCTTTTGTATTTGTCTTTTTCCAGTTTTATTTATATACAACTGTATTTCCTTAGAGACAGGCAAATGACA